TCCAGGCTGAACAGCCCCAACTCTTTCCTAGGGAAGGTGCTACAGTGCTCTGATCAGCTTTTTGGCACAAGATAAGATATAGAAGATACAGAAGTCCACATACATTTTCTGTATCCTGAAAATGGGTAAAATAATACTAAAACCCAATCCTTGAGGAAACTGCTGGACCTGGAATGCTTCCTATCCCCTCCATGGCATTCTGCAGTGCTGTTCTCACCTTGGTCAATCTAGTAGCAGACCAAGGCCAGAAGAATCTGAAATGTGATGAAAAATCAGTTGCTGCCATTTTCTTTACACCACAGCAAACATAATTCATCAAAACCTCAGAGCTGCTCTTCAATCAAGGCAAGGAAACCCAGGCAGAAGGGGAGAAAGATTTTGTTCCAGTGGCAAAGCAAAAATCAGAGCCAGGTTCCAAATTCACAGCAGCAGAACAACCAAATATTATCGTATTTACACTCTCTCCAAGTCACAATGAAAAGAGATCCGGAAAAATGAAAAAAACCCCACTTTCAAAATGTCAAATATTTTTCTTTTTGGGTGTTATAACAGTGTGGCAACAATTGTGTAGCCTATTCAGAGTGATACCCAGTGATAAATGTTCCTGCTACCTTTTCTTTGCTATTTATACTGACAACTGCTGTGGCAGTTCTGACATCAGATTGTTCCTCCTCTTGCTGTGAGGGGATGGAGCTGATAAATCTTTGCATCAGGGAACATTCAGCCTAGTAGATGAATGGTTTAAACTACCCCAGAAATGCAGCCACCTTGGTCATCTGTGTCTGCACTGAGTTGGGCATGGACTCTGGGTTATTTCTGGCCTCTTAATCCAGTGGCAGCTCAGGGTCAGAAACACCAAGAGCTCTGTAATCTGGGGGACAAAGGGCAAGAGGGAATGGCCTCAAATTGTGCCAAGGGAGATTCAGCTTGGATAATGGGAAAACCTGCTTCATGGAAAGTGCTGCCTAGCCCTGGCACAGCTGTCCAGGGCAGGGGTGGAGTCACCAACCCTGCAGGGATTTAAAAGCCATGTGGATGTGGCACCTGGGGATAAACTAGTGGTGGCCTTGGCAGTGCTGAGGGAAGGGTTGGACTCGATGGTCTTAGAGGGCTTTTCCAACCTCAATGATTCCATAATTCCATAAAAACCAGGTCTTTATTTTATCTCCACTCACTCTTGGCCACAGCCTTGTTCCTCCCACCCAGGACAGCCTGTGCTCTCACATCAGAGCAATCTCCTGGGAAGGAGATGCTGTGACACTGAGGAGGAACTGAACATGATGCCCTGACCCTGGGAGGGTGTCGAGGCACTGGCACAGGTCGTCCAGAGCAGCTGTGGCTGCTCCATCCCTGGGAGTGTTCCAGGCCAGGTTGGATGGGGCTTGGAGCAACCTGAACTAGTGCAAGGTGTCCCTGCCCATGGCAGGGAGTGAAATGCAATGATCTTTAAGGTACTTCCAAGCCAACCCAAACCACTCCAGGATTCTACAATTCCTTGCACTGCCATGACACCAAGCACTGCCCCAGCCACTGCCCATCACCTCACCAGAGCCTCACACCTATTCCTCAGCCTCTCCAAACACAGACACCCCACCAGAAATGGTCTCACCTATTTGGTTTGCAACTCAACATTCTCCTTTACACTTCTCTTTCAATCACAATGACATGGGTTACTGCCCCCCCCCAACTGTGCACATGGGCTGAGAGAGCAGATGGGTGACATTAACCAGGATTGTTAGCAACATTAGGAACCAGAGCAGTTACTTTCAGACACTTCAGAAACATTATAAATGTAATGAGTTTCTCTCTCTTCTTTGTTTTTGTGTTTTGGGGGATGGTGGTGGAAGGAAGGAGCTTCTTTGTTCTTTAAATAGCATTTCCCACTGTTTCCAGGATTCATATTAGCTTTGAAAGCTTTAGCACATCTGAATTAACTTACCAAAATAGATAATTTTTAAACAAAATTTAAAAGCAAGAAATAAAAGAGAAGTTTAAAAAATACTAATTATTTTCAGGAATAAGCAGCAAAACCCCAAAATGGTTTATGTCAAAGCAGATTTAAAATGTCTTTAAATGCTCATGGCCATGTCAGAGGAGAGAGTGGGCCACAGTTTTAGACTCCAGCAATGCTAGTGGCTGTCACATGAGATTTCTGAAATTTCTAAGAAAAATTAATAGTCTATCTTCTATATTCAATACTAACCATCTGATTTCTCCACTGGGCAATTGTTTTTAACCCTAAGCCTCTAAATTTCTATAAAAATAATTGCTCTCTTCAGTCTTTCTTTGTAGGGGAGGAGGGAGGGCAATAAAACAACAGTAAAAGTATTTTGCCAGGAAATGTATAAGGTTAATGAGTAAGATTCATTCTGCTCTACTCCACTGGACTCAAACCAGATGTTACTATGGTCAAGTGTCTGTGTAGAAAGAAACCAGCAAACGTCTGTTACTCACCTCTGTGTAAAATCTTGAGACTCCATAAATAGGTCAGACCTTTCACAACCTGAATTTGAAAGAGAAAATATCAGGTATTAGAGATTCCTGTTAGAAACATGACAGATTTCAGCTGAGGTAAGCCCTCAGAGACCTGAATTCTCACGAGGAATGGAACCAGGACCACAAAAAAAGGAGATCAAACATCCCTTCCAGAGGGCTGCAGGACCCAGGTGAACTCCTGCTAAAAAAACGCAACAGGTTCTTTAAGGACACAGGAATAAACTTCTTCCCAGACCTGTAAGCTGAAGTTAGTTGAGTATATATTGAATCCATTCAGGTATTTTAATGTATTTTTAATTCTGCCTTTGCTGGGGTGTTAAAAATCATGAAGGACAAAGGGTGCAATGGTTTGTCTTCTTGCCACAAAAGCAACTCAGTGAAATTAGAGGCTAGAAGACAGCAAACTCTTTAACAGCCTCTTCCACTTCATCCTCCCCTTTCTTTCCGTGTGGTGCATCTGCATCTTCTCCTTTCTTCCCAAGCTTTTATTTACTCAATATCAACATGGAACATTTCTTCCTGAACTGTAAAAATTGTCTCATTCTTCATGTCAGAAGCCTGACAGAGTTCAGGAAGTGTTTGGACAACACTCTCAGGCACATGGTGTGATTCTTGGCAATGTCCTGTGCAGGGCCAAGAGTTGGACTTAATGATCATAGAATCACAGAATCATAGAATCAACCAGGTTGGAAAAGACCTCAAAGATCATCGAGCCCAACCCTACCGTGGTCACTAGACCATGGCACTAAGTGCCACATCCAGTCTCAGCTTGAAAACCTCCAGGGATGGTGAATCCACCACCTCCCCGGGCAGCACATCCAATGCCTGAGCACTCTCTGCATAAAAAATCTCTTCCTAATATCCAACCTAACCCTCCCCTGGCAGAGCTTGAGTCTGTGCCCTCTTGTCCTGCTGCTGGTTGCCTGGGAGAAGAGACCAACCCCCACCTGACTCCAACCTCCTGTCAGGGAGTTGCAGAGGGTGATGAGGTCTCCCCTGAGCCTCCTCTTCTCCAGGCTGAACACCCCCAGCTCCCTCAGCCTCTCCTCATGGCACTTGTGCTCCAGTCCCTTCACCAGCCTCGTTGCTCTTCTTGGGTTCCTCCCAACTCTGAAGATTCTATGATTCACATTAGTCATTTTGAAATCATAGAATCATCAAGGTTGGAGGAGACTTCTAAGACATCAAGTTGAACCATTAACCCACCACTGCTGTAACCCCTAAACCCTAAACCATATCCTCCAGCACCAGATCCAGATGCCTCTTAAACACCTCCAGGGATGGTGACTCCACCACCTCCCCGGACAATATTCCCGTGTCTGAACACCCTCACAGGGAAAACATTTCTCCTAACATCTCCTCTGACTCTGCCCTGGCTCAGCTCAAGGCCATTCCCTCTAGTCCTCTCCCTGCAGCCTTGGCAGGACAGACATCCCACACCTCTCCACAACCCCTGGCAGGAGTTGCAGAGAGTAGTAGGTCACCCCTGTGACCACAGGGGTCTTATATCAAACACAAACCTTACTCTATCCCATCACCCCAGAAAACATAACTGGAACCCCTAGAAGATAAGAACTAGGACAGACCTTGCCCTGCTATTCCAAAATTTGCTCCTTCAACCACCAAAACTCATAAATCCAAGCTCAAAACCTGTTACTCCAGTACAACATTCAACAAACACTTCTACTGCTCCTTACTTTGCCCCAACCCATCCCTGCTGTCTCAGCCACCTCTTTTCACAGAGCAAATCTGTTTCCATCTCTGAGCTGACACAATTCATTTCCCTGAGACACTCTGTGCATCTCCAGAACAATAAAGCATTTCTGATGTTGGTGCAGTTGTCTGAGTTTGGCAGTCAAAACAATTACATTCTTTTCCTTGCCGAAGTAGCCCAAAATGAAATTACTTCTGTTACAATGATCAAGCAGAACTGCTAAAAATACAATACAGTGTGAAAGCAAAAACTACCTCAGTGGAAACTGAACCTCTTTGGTAAAGCAAATAGTGATGGTGGATCCCCAAGAAATTGTTCCAGGTGGCAATTCCTCATTTAAACTCACACTCCAAACCCAACCATCTCCCGGGCTCAGACGGCAACTTCCTGCAACAAAAGGTTTAGCCAAATTCTGCTTGTCCAGAGGTGTGGGTTTGTTCACCTTAAGCCTGTCAGAAAGGTTGGACCTTCAGAAAGGCATTTTCCAAGCTTAATGATTCTATGATTCCATGATTCTGTGAAAAGCCAAATGTGGGAATCCTGTTCACACATAATTCTGACATCATCAGAATCATCACCAACAACAACAATAACAATAATGACAACAACATCAACAAGAACAAGAAGAAGAAGAACAGCAATAATAATAATAATGAAATAATGAAATAATAATGAAATAATGAAATAATGAAATAATAATAATAATGAAACCTTTCAGGCTTCTTCCAATGGCCAGAGTGATTTTCAGCAGAGTAAGCTCTTTGATTCTTAAAAATGCATTTAGACCATTGAAAAAAATCTTTAAAACCATTACAAAATTATTTCTTTTAAAGCAAATATTCATAGAAAAAAAGGAGATATTTCCCACAGGGAAAAAAATCAACAGCTGTGAGGTATTAAACATCTTTATTATGGAACATGTGCTGGATGAGCAGTTAGAAAAGACATGGTATAACAAACTCTCTCTTCAAATTCTCTCAGTGCACAAAGGAATCAAAGGAGTTTCTCCCTTTCTCCTGGGCTGTAAATATGCTCCCAGGAGCCTCCCAAATGGACTCACCTCCTGTAACATACATTCACTCTCCTTACATTTGCCTATTAGGGAAAAAGCTGCCTGAATGGCGCTGATTCTAAAATGGTGCTGGCACAGAGAATCTTTTGCTTGAACCTGTAGCAGGAATTATTGGTATTCAGTCAAGTAGGTTTTACAACAATGACTTGACAAAGCCTTGACACAAAAAGTACTTCTACTTGCTGTCAATCACTCACTCTCTTGACAGTTCAAGTGCACATCCTTTCAGGGAGAACTTCAATCAACATTAGCACTCAAAATACAGAGCACAATGTCACTGCTTCAGAAATTGAAGGCAAAATAAATGTGTGAAGTGGGAACTGAAGGGAGAAGAGATTTTCCATCCTCAGCCCCAAATCAGAACACAGCATGGAAACAGCAGCAGCAGCATCATCACTTTGGCCTTCCTAAGGTACACTTTTCTCTTAAAAACCACTCCAGCCCTTCACACAAACAGAGAACACAAGGAAGAGAGATTTCCCTATCTTGCTGACACTGTCTCAAATAGGAAACCAAGATGAAGGCAGAGATCCCTCCAGATTCCTGGGGATCCAATCTCAGCAGACTCTGTCTCTCTCTTACATCTTATCCTGCTCCTGAAAAGACAGAACTTCTCCCCAAGCCCTGGCAAATGCTTTCCTCTTTTAATTCTTTCTTTTCTTTGCCTAGCTTGATTTTCAGCATCCTTCCAGGATACCTTTCAGCCTCAAAGCTCCCTTTCCATACTTTACTCCTCAAAAAATGAACCAAGGCAATATCACACTCAGCAATGCAAAGCTGGAAAGCTGATTGTCCATCACAATTAGTAGTGATAATTTCTCCAATGAGAAATCATAGAATCATGGAATCCTGGAATGGATTGGGTTGGAAGAGACCTTATCTCATTCCCCCCCTGCCATGGGTAGGGGCACCTTCCACAGCCCAGATTGCTTCAACCTGGCCTGGTGCACTCCCAGGGATGGAGCAGCCACAGCTGCTCTGGGAAATGCATCCCAGCCCCTCAGCACCCTCACAGGGAACAATTCCTTCCAATATCCCACCCAAATCTCCCCTTTTCCAGTGGGAAGCCATTCCCTGTGTCCTGTCCCTCCATCCCCTTGTCCCAAGCCCCTCTGCAGCTCTCTTGGAGCCCCTTTAGGCACTGGAAAAGGCTCTGAGGTCTCCCTGGAACTTCTCTCCCCCAGGCTGAACACCCCTGGCTTCTCCCTCTGCCATGTAGCTCCTCTGGCTACGTGGCAGAGGAGCTCCAGCCCAGAGCATCCAGAGCATCCGTGTGGCATCCTCTGGCAGCTTCATGTCCATGAGAAGTTCTGGATGCAAAGCCAGAGCCATTCATGCCCATCACACGGTGCACTGCAGGTGTCTGTCAAGTATTTCCAGCAGTATTTAAAGGAAATTAGTAGCAACATCATCCTTTCAGCTATAGCAAGTCAAGGTTGCAGGCAGAGATGTCTCTCCCACTGTTTAGTCCCAGCCTGTGGAGATCAAAGAGCTCAAGAAAACTACCTTGAGCACAACTCTGTTTAACTGAGCAAGTGGAGCACAGGGGCAATGTGTTCCCCTTGCCACGTCATGTTGGGCAGCACAGACCCTGCTCTAGACCAGCTGGAATCTCCTGCTCCTTTCATTTTTAAGGGTTGTCCAGCACTGAATTTAATAACAATGAAATTCATCTCATAAGAAAGTAAACAAGAAAACAGACTCATAGAATCATTTATGTTGCAAAAGCCCTCTAAGATCATCAATCCAATCTCTGAAATCACCAAATGGGAGTGAGAGGAGTGCTGGGGTGCTGCTAAATGTCTGTATTCACTGTCAATGTTTTCCTCTGGAAATGGTTTCACTTAAAAACTTCCACAAATACAACAAGAGGATATTCTAATTAACAGATGTGCAGGTCACACATATTATTAAGCAGCTTCAAGAGATTAATGCATTGAACATGTCTCAGGAGAATAAAAGACAAATGACTCTGTACATGGTGCAAGGAAGGCAGAAAGAAAACAGAGACTGGAAAAAGAAAGAGACCACGGAAGCTCCAGGTTTTGCCCACAAAATCCATCCATGTGAGCTCCAGCTTTTGTCTGACACTCTCCTCCTCCTCAGGAGTGACCAGCAATCCTCCAGGCTTTGGGTAATCTTCCCAAGCTGTTCAGGGTGGGATTACAGTGTCTGTGTGCAGGACTTGGCCAAAAGGTGCTGCTGGGGCTCTGCTGACATGACACACACCAAGATGCAGGTTTGGGGAGACTTCCAGGAGCCACTGATAAATTCCAGGGAAAACAAAGGCTTCTGCTGCCTCCTTCCAACAATTCTACTGTGCCAACTGAGCAAAAAAGCAGCACCAGAGCAGAGAAGCTGCCAGTGCTGGTTCAGCCTCAGTGCACACCTTCTGTTGCAGGAAGCAGGAGAAAGGGGTGAGATCCTTCTCTGAAGCACCTGCTCCTTTGTTCCCCTCTTTCCTGACCCTCTGGCTCTGCAGCAGGCACAGGGAAGCAGCAAAGAAAATAACTAGCAGAAGTGAAGTATCAGCTTGCTGCCCATGTCAGGGAGTCATGTTCACTAACTAACTCATTTGTAACAAGCTGACCCTGCAGGTGAACAAAAATATATATTTCTAGACATAAAAGATGAGGCTGAAGCAGCACCATTAGGGATAAGGGAAAAATGGGAAGAGAACACCTGTGGAATACCAAGGCAGGTGGGCTGGGGAGGATGGGGGAGAAGAGACAAAAGCAAGCAAGGAAATGGGAAGGTGAGTTGGTGTTGGATGTATTAAATACACAACATGAAGCGAGATGAGGAAAAAAGAAGGAATAAGGTGCTGAAGGAATGCTTGAAGGCCCATCCCAGTGTTAATAAACTATACATACACAGCATCAGGGAGATGAGGACACTGTGAGCAACTCCTCACTCAGGAAGAAGAGATGAAACGTTTTCCCTCTGAACTAGAGGTGAAAAGCATTCAAATTCCAGAAGAAACTGCCAGGCTATATAATGAGCAGATTTGAAGCTACTGAGAGGAAACAGCATCAGAGAAGGATGTTCATCACCCTGGGCAGGCCACACAAATTAAGAGGAAAGTAGAGCTGTGAATTACAATGAACAGAGACTAAATAGCTGCCTGTGTTGGATTAAAGGATTTCAATTGTCAGCTTGATGTATAATGAATGTGAAAAGCCAGCACTTAATTAAATGGCACATGATAGAATAACTTTGTTATGCTTTAAACTGCTTAAGTTATCAAAGTATTCCTTATATTTAGCAATTGTTTAGCAGTATCTCTCTTCCTTGTGATATCCACTGAGACATTGGTCAGTTACCCTGAGTTCAGCTCTGGAAAGAGATGAATTTTTTCAATTTATTAATTTTTCTGATGGTCTGTAATTTGAGTTTTCAATCATGGCTAGGGAATTTTTGGCAATGCAGTCACTGAATGCTGCTGAGCCACAGTGAGGGCTACCAGGTGCTCTAAGGATCCAACACCTTTCTACCAAACTGAACACATATTGGGGGACTGAGAGTTCTCTGGGCAACCTGTGCCTGTGCCTCAGCACCCTCACAGGGAAGAATTCCTTCCCAATATCCCATCTAGCCCTGCCCTTCATTTAATGCCACTCTTCATCCTCAGGCCACATTATATATCTTCTGTCTTCACAGAATCCCAGAATGGGTTAGAAGAGACCTTAAAGCTCATCTCACCCCACCCCCTGCCACGGGCAGGGACACCTTCCACCAGCCCAGGTTGCCCTAAGACCCATCCAACCTGGCCTCGAAAGCAGCCACAGCTGCTCTGGGAAATCCATTCCAGTGCCTCAGCACCTCACAGGGAACAATTCCTTCCCAATACCCACCCAAATCTCCCCTTTTCCAGTGGGAAGCCATTCCCCGTGTCCTGTCCCTCCATCCCTTGTCCCAAGTCCCTCTGCAGCTCTCTTGGAGCCCCTTTAGGCACTGGAAGAGGCTCTGAGGTGTCCCTGGAGATTTCTCTCCTCCAGCCTGGACACCTCCAGCTCTCTCATCCTTTCCCCATAGAAGTGTTCAATCCCTCTAATCATCTCCTGAACCTTCATCAACCCACATGTGGGTCATTCAGAAGGAAGATTTCCTTAACCCCAGAGTTCCTGTGCACACAGGATGGCTGGGAAGAGCATGAAGAGAGGACCTTCCTTTCACACAGACACAACGAGGACACAGACCCTGGAGGTGCCTCAGTGAGGCCACGGGACATGTGAGCACTCAAATCAGAGATATATGTTAAATGCACAACCAAAAACTGAGAGATAAAAAGAAATCCAAGTACTTACAGCCACGGCTATTCTTCCCAGAACATGCTCTGGAATCTTTCTATAAACATCCAAAGAACCCCCTGCAGGGACAAACAACATGTGCTTAGGTAATGCAAAATGAAATACTGCCCTAGATTTGAAGCCCCAAGGGTCTCCCAGGCCTTAGTTATTAATAAAAACACCATCAATGATAGAACAATAACTGTGTCAGAAATAACTGACCTTAAAAAAAATCTCCCAAATTCTCAATAAACACATGAAACAGCACTTGGGTCTCTTTTCACCCGCATTACTGGTTGTTGCTTGGGGCATTAATACTCAGAAACAAGAACATAAATGGTTAGAAAACCTTCCAGTCCCAGGTCAGAATATCCAAATTAGAGAAGTCCAACTCACCAGGCTTGGAAACTTCTTGGGAATAACAAAATCATCCCAAAAAGCAACAGTACATCTAGGTACAGCCTGATAACCTACACCTCTTGCTGTTCTCAAGGGGAATTTAGCAGGTGTTGAGCAGTTTCAAGGCAAAGAGGCAACAAGAAGAGGAAAAGGCAAGAGGGCATTTCACCATCTTTATTTAGAACATCATCTGTATTATCAATAGGAAAGGGCAGAGACTAGAAAACCTCATTTCACATCTCTGCTGCTCCTTAAAATCAATTGGCAGGTGGAGGGTGATAGGTCAGCACAACCTCAGGGCTTTGATGTTTGCAGACTTGGAGTTACTTGGCTTTTTCCTGCTTGCAGGTGCCAGAGAAACACCAGAATGGTCCTACATGTGCACCTTTACCCTATGTGTGCCCCTAAGTATCCCAAAAGGCTCAGCTCCACCTGGATCTAGGTCATTCAAAAAGGAAATACCTCTGCAATCTGGCACAGAGTCATGGATTCAGGAAACATAAAGTGCCCTAAGACAGAGAAAAGGCCTAAAAATCTGATTAGGTTACAGCTGTTCATTTGCAGGATGAGATAGTCTTTTTTGCCTCTCTTTACCTGTATCAGAATTAAAGATCTGAGGGGGAAAAAATGGCAAAGTGCCTTGATTTGCATTTTATTCTTCCTTTAACTGATGGCTGGTGCTTTCTGCCAGAAGGAGAGCACAACATGAGGTAGAGCAGAGGTCATCTCCAGGATAAATCCAAGCCATTTCTGCATGGTCAGTAAACACTGTCATTGTCAAACTGCCATGAGCAATGAACACCCCAAAGGCTGAAGTATCTGCAAACAAGACTTCAGAATTCAAGCATTTCTGTCCCTTATAAACTCTCTGAATTATAGGAGCACAAGTACTCCAGGCAGGTGCATATTTTGGCATGAGCAGATGCTTCCTCACTGCTTTACACAAGGTTGTAAGGCTGATTGTAGCTGCAAGGAATATCAAAGAAAGGGCTAAGAGTCACCTAGCAGCAAAACAGCAAATAATTTAACTTACGGGCTTGGGGCTTTTGAATAAAACATTGAATAAAATACTATTTCATCAAACACAGAAAATCTGAATACTCCTGCTTGGAAATGAGGTGCAGCCATCACTGGGATGGAGGTAGGAAGTGTAAAAAGAGAGAAATAACAGTAATAACAGCCCATTTTAACAGGGAGAAAACAAAATGCACCATAAAACCCCAAAGGGCTTTATCCAGGGTTCCTATCAGGAAGAGAGAAGATGCTCAATGATGTTTAATGGGACACATTTGGCTTTGGAATTTTTTCCTGCCAGAAAACCTTCCCTTCCACAGTAAATTATTTGTGAGAGCTTTACTTCTTTATATCCAGCTAAACTGAACCTTGGTGGAAAATGTGGAGAGGGCATAAAATGCTGGCTCAGAGGAAAATCCTGGAGAGGGTAAGAGACTGTTGCTCCTGAGGATGACATGATGGGGAGAGTTGAGTGCTGTGCAGAGGGTTCTTCAGCATGAGACACGCAGGGACAGCATCTGCCATGAGGTACACCCTCAGAGCTGATCCACAGAGGCCAGCAAGGATTATATATTACTGTAGGCAGAGGATTTTTCCTGCTTTCTCTCCAGGA